TATCCCTATCTTCCTTCAGTTCTTTGATTTCTTTTTTTGTGTGTTCTTTAAATTCACTGAATTCTTTTATCATGTTTATAGTTGTTCTTTTGAGTTCCATGTCCTGCATTATCTCTAGGTGGTTCTCATTGTACTCCTCTAGAGGACTATTGTTTTTTGGTGGGGATATGTTATTTTGGTTTTTCATGTTATTTTTTCTCTGTAATTTTGACATGTGAATTTTTTTGTAGTTTCTGATTCTTGTGTGAGACTCAGGCCTTCATGTTTAGGTCTGCTTCTTTTTCTAAAATGTATATGTCTTTGTGGTTTACTTTTTGGGCATGAAAAGCTGGTTCCTCTAAGCTTCTAGTTCTCTCTTTTTATTTTATATTGGAGTGGTCAGTTTGCTTTTGTCTTCAGGAGTTCCTACAGAGGCCCAAGTCAGATGAGGATCAGATGCTCTCAGGCTTTCTTCTAAGGTCTGCATCCCTCCAGGAACAATTTTGGCCTCAGGAATTTTTGGGGTTGGACTGGGCTTGGAGCCGAGCCCATGGAAGATGCTGGTCTAGGACAGCTGGTGGCAATGCAAAGGCAGATGAGGGTGGGACGTGGCCCCAAAGGGCTCCTGGGGATTGCACTGAGGAGCTGGGTTGGTCTGGATGCAAAAGATAAGGAAGAGGAAAGGTCAGCCCTGATGTCCAGAAAAGAGTCTGGCGGGTGGTGCAGTCCCAGGGAAGTAGAAGAAGGTGAGGGTGGGGGGCCAGCCCTAGAGTGTTCCTGGGGACGGAAGAAGGCACTGAGTTGGTCTGGATGCAAAGTAGCAGGAATCAGTGGTGGTTTACCAGGTGTCTGGGGTGCCCAGACAAGGAATGGGACAGGTTCCAGGCTAGGAGGAGAGAAGGGCAGGGGAGATGGGTGAATGAGGCTGGGGGAGTTAAGGCATGGAGGGCGCCATGGACTTATACTGGAGAGAGAGGCCTGTGGGTGGGAGAGAGGCCTGCGGGTCGTGCAGCCCCAGGAAGTCAGAGCTCAAATATCCTCTTTTTTAATGCAGGGTCTTACTATGTAGCCCTTGATGAGCTGGAACTTGCTATGTAGACCAGACTGGGCTGGAACACACAGACATTTGCCTGTTTCTGCCTCCTAAGTGCTGGAATTAAGCTTGTGTGCTATCATACCTGGTACCATGATTTTCAATTAATAACCTATCTCTTCTGGGGGAATCATTGACCACCCATGCAGGGTGTCAAATCCACCAATATGATTACTACCAAGAGATGGTGTGAAAAATCCTATAAAAATCTTTATGTGTTTCTGGGTAGATCCTCAGTTTCTCTAGAGCAGTTTTTGCCCTGTCTGGGACCTGAGCATAATAATTACTTCCTTCTCATCCTGAGTTTGTTTTGAGTCTTCCAATGGGTGAGGGCAGTATGTGGTTAATTTCTGTAACAAGACCATTGGTGACTTTTGTCCCCCAGCAGCCTGCATAACATCTTCCAGTACTATGAATGCTGTCAGTATGGAGGTACTTCCAAGTCAGTACCAACTTAATTTCTCCATGTCTCAGAACACCCCAAACCACCAACTCAGGGGGTATCCCACACCAGGCATTAGGCTTTTAATTTGGCAACTTATGGCTTCAGAAAGTAGTAGTATTGTGTGTGTAGGGTAACTCCATTTAAATTCTTTTATCATTTCCATGTGACTTTTTCAAACATCTGTAGTGTTTTTTATCCCTCTCCCCACCCCATTCTCCAACCTCCCATTTCTTTCTGTAGTTAAATCTTTCTCCCCATTAATTTCCTTTCTCTGTCATATCATCTGTGTTCTACTACCGCCGCTTGAGATCATTCTTCCCTCCTCTCACCAATGGTCCCTTTCTAGATCTCTGTATTCTACAGATACTCCAAGTTAAACTTACATATCCAATGATTCAACACTAGCATTCACATATGAATGTGACATTTCTGGGTCTGGGTTACCTTGCTCAGTATGTTTTCCAGTTCCTTCCATTGGCCTTAAAATTTCATAATTTCATGTTTCTTTAGTGCTAAATAAAAATTCTATTGTATATAGGAACCACATTTTTTATGATTCATTTATCAGTTGTTGAATATCTAAGCTGTTTACATGTTGTAGTGATTGTAAATAGAGCAATGATGAACATGGATGAGTATGTGTCTCTGTAGTAAGAAATAGAGTTCTTTAGCTTTATGCCCAAGAGTGGTAAATCTGGTTCATATGGTAGATCTATTTCTATTTTTTTAAAGAACTTCCACACTGATTTCCACAGTGGCTGCTCCAATTTGTACTCCCACCAACAATGCATAAAGGTTGCCCTTTCCCCACACCATCACCAGCCTTTTGTCTTCTTTTTTTAAAAAAAAATATTTTATTATTTTTATTTTATGTGTATGAGTGTATTGCCTACATGTATGTAAGTGCACCTTTGTTGTACAAAGCCCAAGGATGTCGGATTCCCCTGGAACTGGAGTTCTAGATAATTGTTAGCTGCCATGTGGGCGCTGGGAATTGAGCCCAGGTCCTCTGCAAGAATAGCCAGTACTCTTAACCACTGAGCTATCTGTCCAGCCCAACCCATTTTGTTTTCTTAATCTTAGCCTTTCTCACAGGGTGAGAAGAAATTTCAAAGTAGTTTTAATTTGCATTTCCCTGATGGCTTAGGATGGTGAACACTTTAAGAAATATTTCTTAAGGCCCACACACTGGGAGGGGACTCATGTTTAGTACTAAAAACATAGCCAAATACACATGCTGGAGAGGTCATAGATGCTAGAGCAAACCCTGCATTTGTCACATCCCTAGACAAATGTAATTTCTTGCTACATGCTAAATATGTCTCCTTATATTTTCAGACAAGCTTACCTGTCACCAGTCATTAAAGAAGCTTCTTTTTGCAACAGATTGAGATCATTACAGAGACCTACAATTACTCAAACAGAGAATAACTGTCTGGGGGGTGTCCAGCCCTAAGTGACACATCTGCAATGGAACTTCTCCTCCTAAGGCTCACAAACATAGTGGAACAAGAAGTAGAGAGAATACTTATGCATCTCTCAACTCTCACCAGTGAAACTTCCTCATGCAACAGAGGGCTATTAATACAAATGGCAACAACTGGCCAAAGTGTAGAGAATAAGAGACTGCAGAGTGCATGCCCTGGATAGGACTTCTGTACTAAACCTCACCCACCCAGGGCTTAGTGACCATTGCAGAAGGGTGGGCAGAAAGATTGTAAGATTCAGGGATGGAGGATGACCAGAAGGAAATTGAGTTTTCCAGGATTCTGGGAACTTGCTTATAGGAACTTACAGCAATGGTGCCAGCATGCACAAGACCCATGCAAACTCAGACAAGAAAATGGCATGGAAATGGGTAGAAGGCCCCAACCTTACCAAGTAATTATTGGCAGCTGATCTGTGCTTGGTGAGCAAGAGATGATTAAGGGTGTGAAGCTAAATAGACTGACCAGACTCCGTGGATGAACTCACATTAAGGGACATCTGGGTACACAAACTTGAATTGATATGCCTTAGAATATATAATAAAATGCATGAAATCTGATGGGGGACTATGGGGAGGGTGCAGTTATGGAAGAAGGCTCTAAATATGATTAAGATGTATGAAATACACAAAAATTCAATAAAAATACGTATTGAAAAAAATTCTTGGCCATTTATATTTCTTCTGAGAACCCTCTCTTCAAATAAAAGTTTACCTTTTAATTGGATTGTTGGTTTTTGGTTTGGTTGGGGGGGGTTCTTTGTATATTCTAAGTAGTTGTCCTCTGTCAGATGTATAGCTAGCAAAGATGTGTTCCCATTGTGTAAGTAGATTCTTCCGCTGATTCACAGTTTTCTTTGCAGTACAGAAGCTTTTTAATTCCATGAAATCCCACTTGTTGGTTGTTTTGGTTGTTGATCCCATTTTCTGGGAGACCAGAGTCCTATTCAGAAAGTCCTTTCCCCAGCCTAAATCCTGAAGTGTACTCCTTACTCTTTCTTCTTGAAATTTCATACTTTCAAGTCTAACAAGACTATCTATTCAATTACCTCACCTTTTCTTTTTCACTGTTGGTCTTAGGGAGTTGAAATGGGTGTGAGGCTTGCTAGTTCTTCCCTATTCCTCTCGGGTTCTTGGGAGTTTGAATGGGTGGGCAAATGTGGTCTTGTGACAGATGTGTTCAAGGATGTGCCCAGTTGAAGACTTAGAGCAGGGAGTTTCCTTCTAGGGGCGTTCCTTTCCTGTTTTTTTTTTTTTAAAGGGGTTCTCTGTGTAGCCACAGCTGGTCTGAAACTGCCTAGCAGACCAGGCCTCATACTCACAGAGGTTTGCCTTCCTTTGTCTCCTGAGTGTCAAGATTAAAGGCATGTGCCACCACACCCTGTTTTAGAACAGGGAACAATTCCTTCCCATCACAAATGTAAATGGAGACACTTTAAATGGGGAGGGTGGGAAGGGAGAATAAGACAGGGATAGAAAGGGGAGAGAAATCGTTCCTAGCTCATCTAAAAACGTGTAATAGTCCAGAAACCTACTGAAAAATTACACATGCAATATCCCTACATGAGTCCATGAGTATAGCTGAAGCTACATAGCAAGAAACACTGACAGGAGAAACCTCCCTTTGAGGTGTTGGTGAGGGTAGTCTCTTGGACTACCCCAGATTACACAGGCTATTGCCACAGCCCTTGATTTCCTCTCAGAACTTGAATGTAAGACCCTATTGCTGAAGACAGGACATACTTTGGACACAGGATCTGGAGCAATGGAACTGGAACTGACCTGAAAGCGCCCCCCCCCCCAAGGCTACCTCTCAGCTTTGGAGAGCACTATGCAAGCTGATAAGGGAGAATGTCAATCAATGGTCCAACCCTAGCTTCAAAGTCTGAAAATCACATCAATGACCAGCACAGTAAACAACATTGGTGCAGTAGTGGCACTTTTATCTTGGGTGTAATCAACAGCTACCTAGGACTTAAAGCCCAGTCAATGGAAGAAACTCTCATCTGGTACTCTAAACCTAGCCAAATACACATAGCTAGAGAGGTCATAGGTCTTACAGAAAACCCCAAGGCTCTCATATCCCTAGACAAATGTAATTGTTTTTTTAATTATTTTTATTTTTATTATTTTTATTTTATGTATATGAGTGTGTTGGCTGCATGTATGTAAGTGCACCTGTGTTATGCAATGCTCGTGGAGGTCAGAAGAGGCTGTCGGATCCCCTGGAACTGGAGTTATGGACAGTTGTTAGCTGCCATATGGGTGCTGGGATTTGAACCCAGGTCTTCTACAAGAACAACCAGTGTTCTTAACCGCTGAGCCATCTCTCCAGACCATAATTTCTTACTAAGTGCAAAATACGGGTCCTTAAATTTACAGACAAGTATCCCAGTCACCACCCATCAAAGTAGCTTCTTTTTTCAACAGACAGATTATTACAGAGTTATACCACTGGTCACACACAGAGATGCTCTGTGAATTGCCCAAGCATAAGTGGCATATCCAGGATGCAACCTCTACATCTAAGACTCAAGGAACATAGAACGAGGGATGAAGAGAACACTAATACATCTTTCAATTCCCACCAATGAAGCTCCCTCGTGCAACAGAGTGTCAGGAACACAAAAGCCCAGAAATGGTGAAATAGAAGAGAATGAGAATTGGAAGAGTGTGGATCCTTGGGCAGGTCTCCTATATTGAGGTCCACCCACCCAGGGCTCAGGGACTATTGCAGAACAGGAGGTGGAAAGATTGTAAGAGCCAGGGAGGAGGTGCATGACCATATGGAAATAATCCTACAGGTGCCTAGGACCTTTCTCATACAAACCTACAGCAATGATATTAGCATGCACAAGATCCATGAAAACTTGGGCAGGCAAAAACCCAGCATAGAACTGTGGAAATGACCATCAAGGCCCAATAATAGTAAAAGAATTATTGGTAACTGAATATTGCTGGGTAAGGACGAGCTGATCTTCTTGAAGGGAGAGACTGTAGATAGGCGGACTAAACCCCAGTGGATGAACTTGCACTGAGGGACATCTCTGACACTAACTTTATATAATAGGCCTTAATACAAATGACAGCATGTATGAACTCCCGTGGGGGGGCTATGAGAGGGTGCCAAAGGGGAAGCAAGTATAAAAATGATATTATGTATGAAATACACAAAAATTCAACTACCCAATGACTTTATAGACATACACAGGTGTCAAGGATCCAAGTGCAACTGATTATGACTAGTAATAATCAGATACATACAGATTAGAGATGCAAGCACCAACATCTCAGTGTTAGGAGCAAAAACAATGAGTCTTTCTGTAGGAAACAGCGTATTTTAAAATGACATGGAGATCCTTTTTAAAGGTTAAAAAATCATTCAATTTTATATCTTACAGGGTCTATACTGAGTTCAATATTGTATAACTGTATTAATTCAACTATGAACCTAGGAACTTACAGCCACTTGTGAAAGAGATGTACTCTTGCTCTGGAATGTGTTACTGAATATGTTAAAGCTGTAATGAAATGCTTCTTCTAATCATGTAGTTATTAAAAATTCAAAAAAGAATTATATATTTTAAAAAAGAACAAATTTAACCCTATGAGAGTCCTTTTGGTCCTTTTGCCTGTGTCCTGTGCTTCTCATGGTTGCTTACATCTCCATTGTCCTTTCCCTCAATATGTTTATCTAGGCCCTCATTTACTGCCGTGTCTCATTACTGTTTATTACAGTATGGAGGTCACGTTCCAGCTTTCTCTCTTCTTCCTGCCACCTATTCTGATGTAGTTTCATTTAAGGACATTGTCTCAGTTTTCTTTTCCAGTTGTTCTGATAAAATACCAGACCATCTTGGTGAGGAAGGCATGGCATCAGGCAGGGAAAGTATGATGGCATGAGCAGGAGTCTGGCTGTTCATATTGCATCAACATTCAGAAGACAATATGAACAGGAAGTGAGGCAAAGCTATAAAGCCTCAAGGTCCACCCATAGTGACCCACTTTCTACAGCAAAGTTCCATCTCCTACATGGTCTCCAACCTTCCCAGTACCAGCAGCTGCAGACCCTGTAATAAAGTACATGAACCTGTTGGGGGGGGCATTTTAATTTCAAAGCACAGCAGACATCAAATTGGAAAGCCTTGCTAAGGAGTCCTGGCCTTACCCACACTTTCTTCTACAAAGTAAGCAGAAGTATACTGATTTGGGGACAAGGTTGATATGGGAGTAGGTGTCTACATCTGGCAGTAAAGATTCCTGAAAGGCTGGTGAAGACATAATGAGAGCTATGCAAAAGAACTCTTACCTGAGTGTCTAATATTAGGACAGTGTTAGACAGTGCTACTACTTTAGTGTTAGCTGCTGATAATGTTTGGCAGGAGGCAGGAAGCAAAGTCCTTTAGTCTCAACAGAGTCTTAGAATGGAGCAGTTGTACCTTTGTCAAAATTGAATCAAGAGACATAAACTGTTTCATCTTTTCTAATCCCTCTGCTGCAGCCCAGATGTGGCTAAGGAAGTGGTTCTACATTTCCTCAAAGATGTAGATGTGGATATAGATAGTGATAGTGTGTGTGGATTATTAGAATCAAATTATTCCTCACATCATTTTGCAGAATTCTTTCAGACAATTGGAGAAAATGCAAAATTCTAGATCTCACTCAAGATCAACACACCTGCATTGTAAAAAAAATACCCAAGCCTAGTGTGATGGCACATGCCTTTCATCTCAGACCTAGGAAGATAGAGACACGAGGATCTGAAATTCAAGGTCATTCTCAGCTACACACTAAGTATAAGATCAACCTATCTCAATAAACAAATGAAATAAAACCAAATGATATTCCTCAGATAATTTTCTAAGCACACATGAGTTTAAGAGGAAGCATGAAAATGGGAGGAGCATTTTTCTGTGGAAAATTGAAATTTGGAGAAGCAAGGACAGTAAGAGGTAGCAGGAAACACCAGGAGCCTAACAGCCCGGATCCCGCATTTTCCGTTCTGTCATGGAGCCTAGTGAAGAAAGGTTTCAGAGGCAGAGATGTAGAAAAGGAAGA